TGCTATTTCCTCCTGCCTGTCCTGTTTCTCATCTTCTCAGCTTATTCACCCTTCAGTGAATGAGCTATTCTGAACCCGTCTTGCCAGTTAGATTGTAAGCTCTCTGTGGGAGGCAGAGTGATTTATTCATCTCTGAATTGGTGGTGCTTGGTCCATAGAAAATACCAATAAATACTTGATAAATGAGTCATCTGAAGTTCTCTGGCAGTCCCGCTGAAAACATAGCTCTAAATGAAGCTTATGTGGAAGTTGGCTTTCCTGTCACCTCAGCCTTACACAGCCATGGATTTGAAATCAGATTATGAAAACATCATCAACAAAAACACTAGCTTTAGCACTAAAGCCATGCTCTAACTTTCCTAAACAGGTCTGGCTTTCACTCTGAACTTATATTTAATATAAGAATAAAAAACGATTATTTAATCAATTTTCTGGGTCCCAGGAGATTAACAAATTTGAAGTAGAGAGAGGGTACAAGCCCAGTGATGGCCATGAAAGGGAGCTGATAGGTTCTCCCCAAATGAAGATAAAAAGCCAAAAAGGAAAGACAGAATGATTACCTGGCACAGATTAGTAATCAATAGTAATAATTATCCTCAAGGAAAGGCTCTTAGGTCCTGTGTCCTCTGCCTTAGGAGGCAGCATATTTCATTAAATGCTTTATAAAGATTTTCCGTTCAAAAGTTTTATCACTTAAAGAACTAAGACTTAGGTATTTCATGAATTTACATATGTGGGTACTTCATGAATTTACATATGTGGAACATCCAATTCCCTAATGGTGCCAGATCATGTCTCCAACATCAAGACCTGTGTTTGTTTGTTTGTTTTTTTTGCAAAGTTTATATATGAAAATATGTCAGAGGAAGAAGTTTTTTCTTATAAGTAGCTTCTTTCCCTGGATTCGGTTTATTATTGTAATATTTTTATAAACTTATTGGCAATTTGCCTCTCTAAAGGTAGTATATTTACAAGAGTATCTTAATGCAAAAAAATAATGTTAAGTAATGATAATTGTTTACTTTGTCTGATATCATTTCTCCTAATCTTAGAGTGACCCATTCCTTTGAGTCATTTATTCTGTATTCCTACTTATCTACCCACCTTCTTGTCATGATGCCTAGCAATATAGTTGAGTAGTTTCTAGTTGTGGGTGTACAAGCTCTAAAGTTTAAATATTTTGTGGAATATCTGTATTAGAGACATGAGACTCGGATATAAAAATCAATAATAAAATAATACATGACTCTAGAATCAAATACTGAATTGTATAATGTGGTTGTGCTGTTATATAGAAATTCAGTGATGGGCTGAAATGGAAAGAGAGGCGAAGCGGAATGGGATCTATGTAGACAGCACATGTCTCTCTCAGGGGAACGTGGCTATGTTTGGTCGTTACTAACTCTTCACCTCACCTGTGTGTACAAGTTTTGAGATCCTGTTGCTTATTCTTTATTCCCACAGGATAAAGTATAAGTACTGGCATAACAGGTGCATAATCAATACTTACATTAAAATCAATGAAAGCATGTAATACCATGCATTATATGTAAACATATACACTGAGTGGCCAGATTACTATGATCTCTGAACGCATAATGATCTGGCCACTCAGAGTGTGTATGTGTGTGTGTGTGTGTGTGTGTGTGTGTGTGTGTGTAGGCCCAGTGCATGGATGGGGTCCAGCCAGCCTGGCCAGGGGAGGGGACATGGGCGGTTGGATGGCCTGCCTGCTGGTCAAACTCCTGGTCGAGGGGACAATTTGCATATTAGCCTTTTATTATATAGGGTTTACACTGAGTGGCTAGATTATTATGCGTTCAGAGATCATAATAATCTGGTCACTCAGTATATAATAGTATAACATAATAAGCTCTGTTGTTGGATGATAGACTAAAAGCTAATGGCCACTTTTATACATGCCAGAACTTCGCACACACCAGAGCCAGGAGGCCACTCAGTCTTCATCCTGGATTTTCCTTCTGCATATTTCAAAATTGATTTTTAGAGGAAGAAGAAGGGAGAGGGGGAGAAGCATTGGTATGAGAGCGAGAGAGCGATTGGCTGCCACTCTTGCGTTTTTGGAGCTCCTCTATGAATTTACTTTAGAATCGTAACACATTCTTTTCAGCATCTCCAGTGGTGACGAATCTTTTTCACCGGAGAATGGATTTTATTTTTGGAGCCAAGAGTCCCTAGGGCCAGACATAGTGACGAAAGCTGGGGGGTCAAGCAGGAAGGCTGTTTGGGGTTAAAATTGACATGTGACTATAAAGTCATGAGCATGTTTTCTGGCTTTGCTCATAACATAACCAAAGATAGTGATCTTAAAACAAAAAATAATCTGCAAGTTTCATCATTTTAAGGCCAAGTCTGGGTCACTCTCCTCATTTTCCTGCTCCGGAGTTGGTCCAGGCTCCCTGGAGTGCAGCCCCTGCTGTGCCTGGCTCTCAGGGCCCCGCCCGCCCAGGTTCCCTGATGCCCGTGGTCCTTCTCAACATGGCAGGGGCCTCCGCAGGGCCCTGCTCACCTGACTTGTTCAGGGACCAGCGCAGCCCCTGCTCCCTAAAGAGAACCTTCTCTCCATTGAATTTATAGCGAGGCTCTTGTCTCTTTGTTGGGAATCTGTCTAAGAATCCAGTGGTCCTGGCTGCTGTGCCTGAGTTGGTTGGGTGCCTTCCCATGCACTGAAAGGCTGTTGGTTCCATTCCTGGCCAGGGCACATGCCCAGGCTCAGTCCCCAGTCAGGGCATGCAAGAGGCAGCAGATTGCTCTTTGCTCTCACACCAAGGCTTCTCCCCGTCTCCCTTCCTCTTCCTCTAAAAATCAATTTTGAAATATTAAAAAAAAAAAAGAGTTTTTCTAGTAGATTCTACCCAAGTGTCCTCTTAAAAATATACATTAAATAGAAATAACAGTTGCTCTCCCCAGGAAAACGCACATGTGAACATGCAGAATTTTACACATGAGAAGTTGATTCCTGGACGTGAGTTAAGAACCTTTCACTCTAATTTGTACCACACACAATAGGGTTTAATTTTATAGGATCTTGCATCAATCCCTAAATGTTTATAGTTGCTAATCTTGCCCTTCCCTTCCAACTTTAATTTGTAAGTTTCCTAAGGCAAGGAAATAGTTTGGAACTCATTTGCTTTCCCTACACTACCTACCAGGATGTTGAGTATGTAATAGCATTCTGTAAATCATTATGGTTGAACAGATTTTTTTAAACCACCTGTTTGCCACCATTGCTTTCAGAGTCAGTTTCTTAAAAGAAGAAAATCACAAAGTTTTATATTTTTTTAAATGTTAATAAAATAAAAGCATAAGTGTTCAGTTATTTATCTTAGGGCATGCCATAAACCCTGAGATGACACCCCCAAAAGTTGTGCTCAAGAGATAATCTTTTACTGTTTTGCCGTATAAAGTTCAGGGTGCCACAGACCCTGATACAGAACACACTTTATCCACAATACACATAATACACAATACACACAATACACATGTAATGTAAGACCTCCTGCGCCGCAGAAAACCAGGAGAGGCTGTGTGAGTGTTGTCCCCAGAGGCAATCAAACTACATCATTTAGTCCAGCAACTTTTCAGCCTGTGTGCCCCAGGAGTTTTTAAAACATGCAATACCTGACTATTTAGTCAGGGCCACTGACCTCTATTTCGTTAGATTTTCAAATTTAAAAAAAGACAACAGCCAATACAACAATAGCTGTTCAGTGTAAATGAATCAAAATTATACCTATTTTTTAAAAATACATATTTTATTGATTTTTTACAGAGAGGAAGGGAGAGGGACAGAGAGCTAAAAACATCGATGAGAGAGAAACATTGACTAGTTACCTCTTGCACACCCCCTACTGGGGATGTGCCTGCAACCAATATACATGCCCTTGACCGGAATCGAACCTGGGACCTTTCAGTCCACAGACCGACGCTCTATCCACTGAGCTAAACCGATTTTGGCAATACTTATTTTTTTTTTTTTATCAGTTTAGCAAAAAGTATATTTTTTTGGTGTGCTGAATTTTAGTAACGAGTTTATATGTGCCATGAGATGAAAAAGGTTGAAAATCACTAATTTAATCAAATATTATTATTGTCAAACTATAACATATAAAGTGAAAACCTGACAGGCACTTCATTGTCAAATTGGCCATGCCCATGTCAGAACTTACATGACACTTAGCAGGTTTGGAATATTTTTTTTAAATTTTTATTCATTTTAGAGGGGAGAAGGGAAAGAGAAAGAGAAACATCGATTTGTTTTGTTGTACCACTTATTCATGTTCATTGGTTGATTCTTGTATGTGCCCTGATCAGGGATCAAACCCGCAATCTTGGCGTATCAGGATGACACTTTAACCAACTGAGTTATCCAGCAAGGGCAGATTTGGGATATTTTGAATCATAAATTAAAAATCCTATTTTATGAAAATGCTCAGGATAAAATTGTCAATAATTTAATTTTTTAAAATTAACTTTCAGAGTATATAAATGTTAAGCATTTGGTAAAATGCAGGATAGACAGTCAATTTAACTTGTATTCAGTTTGGTCACAATCTTGGGTGGTGTCTACACGTGTTCACGATCATCTTTGCACTCCATACTGGCCGGGGTGTGACCATTAGAGTGCATTTCTATGGAGCATGACCTGAAGGTCTATTTGTTGGCAGTGGTGGATTTTTCTTTCTGCCTTTTTTAAAACAGATATATTCCCCAGCTTATTTTTCTCACTTGCTCTTTTTTAAAAACAGTGGGGGGAGGGGGGTTTGTTTTTGTTTTTTATTCTGTTGCAACTTCCTTGAGGTTCCTACAAGATGTGGCTCCTTGATTCTTCATGGAAGACATTCCTATTGTGATTATTGAGCCACATTTCAAAGATAATGTAAAGAGTTTGCTGAAATAGTTATGCTGAGACTCATTAGGTTTTAATGTACTGTAGACAGTCTTACTATATTCATCTCTTCATTGTCTCCTCTGTGCAGTTAAAAAACCTGAGTCTGGAAGAACTGCAGACGCGGCTGAAAGCCCTGGACCCCATGATGGAGCGGGAAATCGAAGAGCTTCGCCAGAGGTACACAGCGAAACGGCAGCCCATCCTGGACGCCATGGATGCGAAGAAAAGAAGGCAGCAAAACTTCTGACCTCGTTTCCTCTCTCCTTGTTTCTATGACTATTCTGGAGACCAAGAAACCACTAAGAATTGAAGGAATAGTATGATTTCTTTTTAATTCCTAAGATCTGTGCTCTACAGCTAGGCAATGGTCAAAAAACTGATTAGTACCTATTACCCAAGTAAAGTTCCAAAAGGCACAATCTACAACTGTACCCGTTCTGTTTTCATTTTTAAACGATGAAAACAGCAGACATGTAGTCTTCTCTGTATCCGTCAGCTGCATACCAGCACTAAAACTGTTATGAAAATGAAGGCTGGGTTTAGAGACCTTGAAAATCCAAAGCTATTGTTTAATTCTACAGCACTGAAGGGCTTTATGTTACAACAGTCTTTATTCTTATTTAGTAGCCTATTTATTATATCCTTTTAGGTAAACTTATTTATTTATGCCATTTCACTTTGTTTTGTTTTTTTAAAGACACGATCAGGATAGCTTTGGTGAAGGTAGGAAAGTATTAATAGATAATAATATTCAACCAAATTATACTCTAAGCATGGAGCTATGGGGTACATTTCTTGATTTCCAGGATAGTTTTTCAATAGAAGCAAAGCAATAATAGCAATAGTACCTAAATGGGCCAGGCATTTTTTATACTGAAGCAATAATTCCATTTTTACCTCCTGAAATTTTTAACTTTTTAATTCTTAATATTTGGTACAAATAGAACTATATATATTTAGGTCAGACAGAGTTATAATGTTTAAAACCAAAGAAATCAATGATATCCTTGCACAGAAAAAGTGTGGTAAATATTTTAAAAGAAATCCTTAAGTCAAATGTAATTTCTTAATATTGTTTTACGTGTCATGTGTAGGTCTGATAGCTGAACTGTGTCAAACTGTAATAAGCTCATCAAATTTATTTCTGTGAAAATACACTCAATTGTCACAGGACCTTTTTGTTGATTTCATTTATTTCCTGGGAATTGGTAAACATCATGTGCCTGACGATAACAAAATAGCAAGAACATTTGCACTGAACTGTGCAAGTCTTGGGGAGTGAAAAAAGAATAAAACCATGAAAAAGAAACTCATTCTAAGCTGAATGAACATTTTCGTGATTGAACTGGGACCAGTCATTTCCAAAGCTACATCTGGCCTTCTTGACAGTTTTTGTGTGTGTGTGTTTTTAACTACTATGTGTAAGTCATGAAGACAAATAAATTTTACTGTGACACCCAGCACATTTCATCTCTGTATGTTTTGTTTTGTTTTTTAAGTCATCACTGGCATTCTCTTTTCCAGAGAAGGAAGATATATTATTAGTCAGGATAGGCAAGATTGCTCAGTGATAACAACCCTGAAACTTCAGTCATTTAAGATAACACAGGTCATTTCTCTCTTGTGCTCCATGCCCATCCCAGGTTGGCCAGGCGCCCTCTCCTGTCACGCATGCCCCAGGAGCTGCTGATGGAGCACCCCCCTCTACAACCGCAGCAAGGGAAGGAGCACTGACAAGTTTCACACTAGCTCCACCCAGCAGTGATTCATGGCCACTCCTAATTCCCTGGGAGCAAGGAAATACAGCCTTACCCTGTGCTTTGCGGGCGAGAGACGGGAAATGCTGGCGAGTTCACTAGTGACAGCCACAGAAGGTATTTCACCTCTGAAAAGCATCTACTCCTTTTAAAAGTGGCATTTGCACCCTAGGGAATGCCTTGGAGTATATTGCTCTCTGTTGAGCTCTTAAAATTATAAATATAATTGGGTATAAATTACAAGATTTTAAAATAGTGGCTAAGTATTGAAAATTTTATAAAGGTTTGTAAGAATGAAATTACATGTAGCTTCAGCTACATCTTTATTGGAATCTGTTCAGGATTTCTCCCCCTCCTTTTTAATGGATAATACCTTGCCTAATTTGATGGAATCAAATAACTAATTGGCTATCACCAAAGTAAAATCACCTACTGAAATGAAAAGAAACCTGTGAAGATGATTTCTCCCTAGTTTACTAAATTAGAAAATGTATGCAAGGAGACTTGACTTGGGGTAGTAAACACACAATACAGTGCACAGCGGATCGTTAAACCCCAATGATTTTGTTAATCAGTGTGACCCCAATAAAAAAAAAAGAAAATTTATGCAAATTCACTCAATAAGGCCTGTTAACCGCTCTTACTAATTCAGTCTCAATAAAAATCCTCCTGTTAATAGTAAATATCAAATGTTACAATCACATTAAGATTTTTATGTAAATAGACGTTATATTTATGTTCTTTAAAATACACATTTTAGAGAATTAAGGACAATGGGCATTGTTTAATTTTAGAGCCTTAGGAAGCTGTAGAACATTTTAGGATAGATAATCTGTTTTAAATGTTTTTCCTATCTTCTCACCCTCTGACCCCACCAATCAGAAAAAAAAAAAAAAAAAAAAAATGGAACTTAACATTAAGTTTTGAGGAGCCAAAAACTATGAAAGAAACCCTCGAGTGTAGGTGAACCTTGATTAATTGTGATGTTTAGGAAAGGGAGTTTTCAATTAATTTTAATGAGTTTGAGAAGCAGCCTCTTCAAGGAGCCACAGATGCAGCCCAGAGCTTACTGTGGGGCTCAGCAGGGAGAGGGGAGGAATCAGGTTGTGGCAGCCGGGAAGAGCAATGGGAGCTGGTGAGCATTCCTGCAGGAGTGGGCAGGAACAAGCTGCTGCTGAGCCCAGTGAGCACAGCCACGGTGTCTGGCAATCGACATTCCAGATAGAAACCACGCCAGAGAGCCTGCCTGGTGCCTGCCTTAATCTCCCAGAGCGCCCCTCCCTCTGTGTCAGGTTGCAGAGCACATCATCTGCAAACCCGAGAACTGGTCCTAAAGAAACACTTTCCCAGGGCGAAGGGCTCACTCTTCAGCTAATCCCAGGACCATGGAGGTCTGCTGGTCGCCATTGCTGGGAAGGCAAAGCAACGAAGGCACCTACATATTCCACTGTCAGCTCAAGATAGCTCACCCAAACAGAAAATCAATAAAGAAATAGACTTCAATAACACGTTTGACCAAATGGATATAATTGACACAGAGCCTTTCATCCCAGAGCATCAGATGTTACATGTTTCTCCAGCGCACATATTAGAACATTCTCAAGGATAGACCATATGTTGGTCACAAAAGTAAGCCTCAACAAATTCAAGGAGGTTGAAATCATATCAAGCCTATTCTTTGATCACAATGCTTTGGAATTAGAAATCAACTGCAAAAAATAAGTTTTTAAAATACTCACAAATATGTAGAGATTAAACAACCGACTACTAAAAAAAAGACTGCATCAAAGAAGAAAGAAAAGGTGAGATTAAAATATATAGAGACAAATGAGAATGACAGTACGACATACCAAAACCTCTGGGATGCAGTGAAAGCAGTAACAAGAGGGAAGTCTATATCATTACAAGTCTGTCTCAAGAACCAAGAAAAATCCAAACAGTCTAACATTACATCTTACCGAACTAGAAAAAGAAGAGCAAAGTAGCCCCAAGTCAGAAAAAGAAAGGAAATCATAAAATTTAGAGCAAAACTAAATGAAATAGAAAACAAAACAAAAAGTTAATTAAAAAAATGAATAGAACAAAGAGCTGGTTCTTAGAAAATATTAATATTGACAAAGTCCTGGCTAGACTCACTAAGGAAAAAAGACAAAAGACTCATATAAACAAAATTAGAAATGAAAGAGAAGGTACCCTAGACATCACAAATAGAAAGGATCATACTAAAATACTGTGAAAGATTATATGCCACCAAATTCAATAACCTAGAAGAAATGGATTAGTTCCTAGAAATATATAACCTTCCTAGACTGAATCATAAAGAATTAGAAAATCTAAATAGACTAATCAACAGTGGAAAAATTGAAACAACCATCAAAATTGAAGTCCAGGACAAGATGGCATCATTAGAAATTATACTAAACATTCAAAGAAAACTGGATACCTATCCTTCTCAAACTCTTCCAAAAAATTGAAGAAGAGATGATAGTTCCTAACAAATTTTATAAGGCTAACATAACCCTGATACCAAAACCAGGCAAGGATGACACATACACAAAAAGCAAACTAGATCAGTATTTCTGAGGAATACAGATGCAGAAATCCTAAACAAAATACTAGGAAATTGAATACACAAGACATTTAAAAAAAAACAAAAAAAAACAAAAAAAAAAATCACCACAATCAAGTGGAGTTTATTCAGGGGCAACACCTGCAAATCAATTAATGTAATACACCACATTAATAAAAGAAAGGACAAAAGTCATATGATCTTAAATTAAATGCTGAAAAAGCATTTCATAATACAACATCCATTTATGATTAAAACATTCAAATCGGTATGAAAGGAAAAGTTCCTCAACATAATAAATACCATATTTAACAAACCTTCAGCTAATATCATGCTCTAACACTGAAAAACTGAAAGTTCTTCCTCTCATCACTCTAATTCAGCATAGTGCTTGGAAGTTCTGGCCAGAACAATCAAGCAAGAGAAAGAAATAAAGGCATCCAAACTGGGAAGAAAGAAGTAAAACTCACTTTTTGCAGATGACATGATTCTGTATATAGAAAACCCTAAAGACTCCACCAAAAAAACTATTAGAAACAATAAACAAATATAATAAAGTTCAGGATACAAAATCAATATAAAAAAATTCACTGCATTCCTATACTATCAAAAAAAATTTCAGAAAAGGAAATGAAAAAAAAAAATCCTTTTGCAATTGCAACAAAAAAATAAAATAAAATACCTAGGAATAAAGTTAACAAAGGATATGAAGAACCTATATACAGTACTGGAAACTACAAAGCATTGTTAAAAGAGAGTGAAAAATCACATTGAAATGGAAAGATATTCCATGTTAATGGGTTGGAAGAATCAACATAGTTATAATGTCCATATTACCCAAAGAAATATATAGATTTAATGCAATCCCCATCAAAATCCCAATGACTTTTTTTTTTTTTTTTTTTTTTTTAAGAAATAGAA